TATGTATATAATTTTACTCTGATCTATGGTGTGTTATAGATTGAGGTTATAATCATTATATTAAATTATCATGTGTCGATTAATGACGATCATTAATTATAGTAGATCATCTGAAGTCTGTGTGGAAACCATGACTGCGGTCACAAACCTGTCGCACCGGTTGCAGAGCAGGACAATTGAGGTGCAACAGTTAAACTCCCAGCTGGCTCTGCTCCAACGCTATGTTTTATAATATTTTTCTTTTAGGATTTTGTGGTAGCATGATTTAGAGTTGACTGTCTAAAATGTCAGAAAAACAAGAGTGAGTTCTCTGACAAGTCGGGTAAGATCTTCCGTATACGGTGTTGATATGTTTCCATTTTGAGTTGTTCCTTTCGCACTTCATATTTTAGTGTTTTTTGTTTTACGTGTGCTTTTGTATAGTATGTTGGTAATGGTGAGCAGGTGGTAGGTCTATACCTTGCTTTGGTTAGTTGTTTTTCTATTTGGAAAGTTCACGGAGAGCAATACCTTGTTTTAGGCAAGGGGCCTTGCTTGACCAGTTGTATCTGAGTTTGTGTTTATTGTCTAAGTATAAATTTGATATAGTATCCGCCGCAGGTATGATGAGAGAAAAAATCATCCGTGACGCACTGTGGTGTGTTTTTGGGTTCTATGGTTTTATTTTTGAGTGTTATTGTTGTTTCTTCTTCTCATTTTTTTGGTTGTTATATTTCAAGAGTTGCCTCATTAGAGGCGTTACGATACCGGTGTTTTATTGTCCTTCGGTGGTGGGTCTATAGAATCCGTGACTCGAGCCCCATCCCTACTTGCGTGTCCATATGAATAAAAATGTACTAAGTTGTGTAAGAAAGAAGTGACACATACCCGAGATTGCGGTTGATCAAAGAATGGGTGAGCATTCTTTCATTATTTATTATGGTTTTTTTTTTTCTTTCATTTTGGATGTTTACTTTTTTGTGTTTTTTGTGGTGTCCTCTTTGCGAGTATGCATTGAAATTGTGCCGTAGAGCTCCTCTGATATTCATAATGTTATTTAGTTTTACGTTGATTATGTGTGTACATATTGCGGTGTTTCGACCATGTTATGCCTCGGTCGAACTAGCTGGAGGTGGATATGAGGTCCGTCAATCACAAGAAGACGGCGACTTTGCGCCCCACGCGGGGGAGCGAGTCGTCGTAGCGCAGAAGTTTTCTAGTGTACCACCACACACACTGTTCGTACCAAAACTTTACAGCTGCTCGAAGACGAAGCGGGCATGCACCTGTGATACCCACATAGCAGACTGATCAGCAGTTTACAGTGAGCAGCGCACAAACATGAAGAGTGCTTTTGCTTTTATATCCTGGTGCATTTATTTTGATTGTGGGGGATTTGTATTTTGCTTTGTGCTGTCGTTAAGTGATTGGAGGTTCTGTTCTGTAAAAAAAGGAAGTAATTTTTGGCATGTATTAAGGGTTTTTTCTCAATGTATTGGTGTGAATGTTGATCTGATCTTCACGATCTTGTAGACAGGCTGCTATAGAATTATGAAGTTAGACGGGTCTTAATTCATAAAAAGATTGTTGTTTATTCTTAACGTGAAAGCGGTCGATTCTAATATGTTTGGAAAGGTGTATGAATACGGGAAGAAGGGAAATGTCTGAATATCTCAGTAACATTAATCATTTTAGCCCTCTTTATTAACACACCACAACATGTTTCTAGGACCGATACAGTAATTGCCATATGCAGGGAGTTTTTACTAAGTATTGAAGAATGATACTTCCTAATTCGCTCTTTCTTGCAAGATAAAGCAGCAACAATTTTGGATAGAAGGAGTGTTAAGTGGAAATTTAGTTCATGGTAAGGCAATGAGATTTAATCTTCAGTGTGTTTGGTGGTATATGTTGGAATGATGGAAGTACTGGTTCGCATCAGGTATTAATCTCGCAATACGCGCTCGCTAATCATAGTAGCTAAGAGACCTGAGAGGGTGCTCGCGGGAGGGGACAGAGCCTGGTCTGCTTTAGAAAAGTCGTGTGTGTGGGGAGAGACTGTCAGCTGTGAATTATGGTGATTAGTGATTTCTATACTTCTCAGTAACTAAGGACGTTTATAATTTTTGGTTGTTTAGGCAAATGGAATAAGATATTGGAGCCTTCTCAAGATGTGTTATGAAAGACAGAGAGCGTGGAGTGACAGTGGGTATAAGTCTGTCAATGTAGTTCACTTTTGTGTATTCCTCCGCATGTATTACGAGGCAATTCACATTATACTTTTCTTTTTTTCTACATTTTTCCTTAATTTGTGGTCGAATGGTATTTTATAGTTCATTTACTCCTGCTTAAAATTTGTTTATGGCCAGGTAAGTATAGAATAAAAACGTAAAGGTTAATTACTGTTCGTCTACCGGTTTTATAAGAAAAATAAATAAAGTAAAACACACCCAAATTTGGTCTAATTTACTTTACCCATTAGACATATGATTTGAATTCACAAATCTACATTCTACATAATATTTTCTTAGCTCCGTCATGGATGGAAGTGATGTGTTTATCTTATTATCGTAACTTAAAAGAGGAACTAGCGGCTGTACGCTTAGAATCAAGTGAAAAGGGAATAAAGAGGAAGGATGGGATAGGGAAGAGCAAATAGAGATTATCGACATGATATGCACGAGAGAACAATGGTGCTTGATTAAGTATAAGGTTCCACATAGCAAAGATAAAACGCTCATCGTGTGGTGTCTAATGACCAATCTTCTTTTATGCTACATTCAATGGAGTGGATCGAGGACTATGTGTTCCGGTGCGTGAAAGTGAGGTACACGAGCAGAGTGTATATGGGCAGGGTAGATATAGTGTGAAGAGGTGAAACTCTACGAATCGTGGTGAGCGGGGAGCTGAAATTTGGGATGGAATGTTGGTGAAATCGGAGGAGATGACTCTGGCGGATGTTGGTCAGTGACCAGGAGTGAGTGAGTTCGGATAGGCATAGAAGTTCTGCTAAGCTTCAGCATGGAGTTTAACACGGCCCCTGTTAAGGTGGGGAAGATATGAGTACAAATTGAAGGGGAAGAATGGGTCCTGTTGCTTGCTGCGCTGCTACTGTTGATTAGTGTAAGGTTGTTGAAGAATCTGCCATTGAAGAGAAAGTTAGGCGAAATTTGGGTTTTGTCCGGCGGGCGGCCAAGGCGATTGCCTGCCCGCCAGTGAAACAAAATTACTAGGTTCTACCTAAGCTCTGATACCATAGTTTAAAATTGATGTTATTATGATTGATGTATTTTATATTTATTACAAATGATTCATGTATCCTATATAGTAGAAGAGGGTGACGTTGTGTAGTAGGTAAGGGAGTAGGCGAAGTGGAGTGGTAACGTGGTGTAGTGGGTTAGGGTTTAGTTGGTAGGCTGAGGTGGTAGTGGGTGTAGTGGGCTAGTTTAGGTGGAGTAGGTTTAAGTGGGTGAAGTAGGTGATAGGTTTTAACAAGATGAGTGGAGTCGGTGGTAGTAAGGTGGTAGTGATAGGTGTCGTAGTAGTGGTGGTCAGGATGTATGTAGCGTGAGTATTTTTTCACAGCCGCCTCGCAAACTCAAGGGGGAATAGGAACTAACCAAACCTTGAGTTTGGGAGATGTACAAAACACAAATCATAAAAATAAAAGGAGGATAGGAGACACTGATGGTCGTGTCAGCACCGATGATGAAAGACACTGTATGGCTGGTGTCATACGTTGTAGAGGACACTGGATGATTGTGTCCAGACCGATGTAGAAGAACAAGTTTATGGGGTCATGTCGGACCGTTGTAGCAGACAATGTTGTGACAGCTGTTGTGACAGTTACTCGGAGTCTTGCCGGACCCTTGTAGAAACTAACCGGAATCATGTCGGGACATGTTTACCAAGAGTCTTGTCGACCATAAGAGCTAACCGGATCAATGTCGGGAACAGTTTACAGAGTCTTGTGGACCCCTAAAAATCGCACCCTCAAAAGGTGTGGCCCAAATCTTTTCAAGAAAGGCGTGCCATCAAAAGACGTGCCCAATCCATATAAAGGCGTGCCATCAAAGGCGCGCCTATGTTTCGTCTAGCCGCTGACGGCGCATCATGCGCGTGTCTGCCTCTTCATCATGTCTTTATAAACGAGCGGAGGCTGAGGCTTTTGGAAGCATAACAACCAGTTGACCTCTTTCGTTCTCTGAGAGCTTGTGCTAAGAGTTGCAAATCTTGAAACACTCTGTAAAACACTCTGTAACCAACCTTCTCTGAACCCACTCAGCAACCCATAACATGGTCTTACTCCGTTCAGCTACCAAGAATATGGGCCTCTTCGGTCCTGGTCTGCTCCTCTCTTTCCCCGACCGTCACGAGCAACAAGAGAGATAACTGGTGGCGGTGGCCAGTGGAACCCAACCAAGACGCCTCTGGTTGTCCGTTGAACTTTCCGATCGGTCGGTGGAGCAAAAAATGGCGGTGCAAACTGATATTGAGGCAATCGTATACTTTGAGTCATGTGTGGACAGGAACCAAGACAGCGGTCACAAACCTGTCGCACCGGCTGCAGAGTAGGACAATGAGGTACAGCAGTTTAAAAAACGCCAAACTGGCTCTGCTCCAGCGCATGTATAAGGTGTGGCGACAGAGATACAGTGTGCTAAAGGCGGAAAATAAGGAGTAAAGCGGAAGGCCCACCGTGATGTTCCGATTTGGAGGTCCGCCATACTGCTGCAGTGGAGGAGCAGAGAGTAGTGATCGTGCCATGGAGTGGGAAACACGGATGGCAACACCGTCAAGGGCCCGCCCGGAGGAGGCAAGAAAGAAGAGAGAAACGGCGGCAGAGTAGAGAAAAAAAATCCTGGCTGTGATATAGTTTGTTTTTTTTTTTTTTTTTTTGTTTTTTTTTTTTTTTTTGGTTGTATAATTGTGAATCGGGTGGATCCGCATGAAAAATGACAAGTTTGTGGAAATGTTGTTGGGTGGTTATGTTGTGTGGTTGTTTTGTTTAAGAATAAAAATAAAATAAAATAAAACAACGGATATAGAAAAATAGATAAATATTTGTGCATCGGGGTCATATATGAAAAACAAAATCGGTGCCGAGTTTTTTTTTTTTTTTTTTTTTTGGTGGAATATAAAAAATAATAATAAGATAATGAAAAAAGGGTAATGCTCACTAACGAGTTGTATAATAATGAAACATTGATGGAAAAAAGAAAGATAAAAAAAATAAAATAAAATAAAATAAAATAAAATAAAAGTAGGGATAGGGAAAATATATTATAATAAAAAAAATATATATATATATATTAAAATAAAAGAAAAGTGTGAAATAGCGTGGGTGGAACCAGCACATGGTTTTGGTTTAAAGCTGGTGGATGAAAACATGTGAGAGGCATTGTGTTTAAATAAAAGAAGAGTGGGTGGACAATAATAAAATAAAAGAAAGGAAAAGAGGGGGGCAAAAGTTGGGGGATAGTTGGATGAAGAGAAAGTAGGTCCACTATTACAACACCAGAGAATTGATTATTTATCACAGCGGCTTTTGATAATCATCCAGGCCAATCTCAGTTGGATCCGTTGCCTGCAGCTCTACCTGAATGCCATCTAGTTCCCTCTTGAATCTGTCCTTAGAGCTTGCATAAATCATTTTGCTCCTCACTCTTGATGTATCAGGAGACCATGCAATGAAGAAAATTTTGCTCTTTTGGCAATTCTCTTCTGTTACAAAGTCATAATCATAGACATGCCATTTGAAACACACAAGTTCTTCGCAGGAAGGCTTGCAGTGAAGTCCTCATAGCTATTTGCAGGCTCACCAACCTTTTCCACAACAACCTCCTTTTGCTCCTCCTCAATCTTGTATACTATGAAGCGGTAAGTTCTTTTTTTCTTTCAACTCCAAAAACTTCAGCTTGCAATCGTCATGAACAGCCATCCCTGATGCTGCATTAGCCATGGTGTGGAGGTGGAGAAGATCGGGGGCAATTGAACAGAGTTAGAGAGAGAAAATTTAGGAAAATGGTGATATGTATGTAGAGAGAGAGATGGCAATGGTGGTGTGTTTCAGTGAGGTGCCGAGAGGGAGAGGGAGGTTTGAATTGGTTGAGACCCGGCGGGCGGTCAAGGCAAGGTTGCCGCCCGCCGGAAGGCGAAGAACACCAAGATCTTTAACCTATTGCTCTGATACCATGTAAGAAATAGATGTATTATTGATTGATATGTTATATTGTTGTATATTACAAATGGTGAGGGGCTCCTTATATAGGAGATGTAGTGGAGTAGGTGGTAGTAGGTGGTAGTGGTAGGTGTGTAGTAGGTGGCAGTAGGTGGTGGTAGGTGTAGTAGGTGGAGTAGTTTTTAACATTTTCCTTTAACAAAAGCTAGGGAACCAACACATTTCTTGGAACAAACCGATGAATATGATCCACAAAGATCAATGATTTTAATAAATTCCTAGGGTCTACTTCAACACTTGCACGTAAATGTCATGAAGGTAGAACATAGAAATGTATTGTAAAAAATGTGAAACTAGTAAGTATCCTTTAGCTAAAAGATACTAACCATGGTCCTCACTCCGTGTTAGTTCCAGCTTTGTAGGACCGCGAATTGCTCCATCTCGGAAAAAACGTGTCAATGTGAAAACTACATCCCCGAATTTGGTGTAACACTGCATGGGTAACAGTGTGCAAGTGTGAGTTTTTCAAACCATAAATCTCAATACAAACCCCACAAAATGCACCTTGATATGAGGCTGTATCCAAAGTGATATCTGGGACTGGCGACTTGAATGTACAAACCTGTTTACAACACAGGAGGTGACAGAAAAAAACTAGATTAGTTTAATGAAGAACTCTGGAATCTAACAGGATTAATTGACAGGTAAAAAGAAAGGACAAAATTTTCATGTTCACCAAACTGAAAACATTACTGGCAATTCAATAAGAGCAATGATAAAAATCATAGGACTAGCACCAAAAAAAATTATTCTCATACAAAGCAAAGCATACAAATGATCAGACATCTTCCTGACATATAGAAAATATATCAAAAAATTGAATTAAAATGTAAAAGAATTGATGACTTTGCAGATCTATTGCACCTGGTTTCACATTTTAATAGGAACCACTGAGAACATGCAGGATGTAATATACAATTGTGACAACAAATGGCTACATTTCAATGCAATTTCCAGTTTTTGCAAAAAAAAATAACTACAACCTTTCATCACAAAATATAATTGCACCATAATCATGGCGGTGACGAATGACACGCCCAACAGCCTGATTCACAGCCCGCAATGCTTCTTGACTGTACCACTCTTCTCCAGTCAGAACCTGCAATTTCGATGTAAGTACACTTGAAAAAAAAAAAATGTGATTAAAAAAAAAAAGGTAGCTTATCTATAAAGGAGAAAGATTACTAAAGAGTAAAGTTCTAAGTCATGTTTGGTGGTATCAAGACTACCTTACATCCCATTTGTTGTGACCGTGTGTGTTGATCCAAGTACTCTCGCTTTAAACGAACCTGTCACACATCACATAAAAATACAAGATTTATTTAATAAAAAGGTGACATGACGAAAAAAAAAAAATCTAAGCACATGAATTAAAATGTAGTATGGTTAGAGTGAACAACAGAACAGAAGCGGTTTTCTAGGAAAGACTTAGAAATCAAAACTTCTTATTTTACAAGACCAAATGACACTCCTTATATAGGAGATATTACAAACATCATTATAACCCATTATATGCCACTTACATATTATATATTACCACTATCTACCACTATCATATTATATACATGCCATTATCTACCACCAACACCACTATCATATTATATACATTAACACAAATTTCCAGCAGAAAGCATACCAAAAGAAGAACAATCTAGACAGCCATATTTGCATGTCTGTGTTCTGTTCCATAGCAAAGTTAACCTGAAGAAAATATATGGATATAATGATAACAGTTATGATATGACAAAATTATAGCAGGTGATGTGGACTGAATAGAGAAACTCTCAAACCAAGCCCTGGCACAGAGATAACCAAGGCCCTGGCACAGAGAAAGCATCATATACTTCTATTCTCGAACATTGTCAATTCAGCTTAAAGGAACTGCAACTCAAAAAGTTGGGTATGGTTCCACTATGGCATGTCAGGGATAAAGAAACCAGATGCCTTGAAAGATAACACTAGATTCCAAAGTTTGTTTTACTAATGCCAATTGCCAAATATATCTCGGAAAATTGATACAATTAAAACTCACATCATGGACAACAATAACCAAGAGAAAACAGACAAGATTATCAAACCTTTGGATCAGTCCTCATGGCAAACGGCATACCAGTTATCACCACAGCTCTCCCAGCATGGTCTGCAAAATCTAAACCTTCACTTACCTAATAAAACAAAGGCAATTAAGCATGGTACAAAAATGGGACTTTGGAAAGATTGTCTACTGCAGACATGAGAAGTAGCAACAAACTTCGGTCTTCACAAGTATCATCATTAAAAGGGTAGCACCCCAAAATAAAAAATGGTTACTAGATTCCAGTACCATTTAACTAGAATTTCAGAAATGTTAATTTTTTTGTTTTGTAAGATCCCAAACATGTCATCAATTACCAATATAAACACCCCCACCATGTGCGACATCAATGGAAATGCAACCTTTGACACTGAGGAAACATTTCTTCAATGACTACTTAAATTCATTTTGGCACCACAAAATACAAGAACAATGGTATCTAAGATTTACACATGCCATCATTTCTTACTGCTGAAACTTACTACTGGTAAGTAGGTAATTAATGCAGCATCAATGGCATATATTTGGGTGTACTGGAAGTTGAGGAATACAAGAAGATCAATTTAACAGAAAGAAACCCAAGTTATGGTGCCTATGTACAACAATACAAGACATAACTACTAGCACTATCTATTTTGAAACTGTTCCAAGCATGTTCACTTGACCTTAGGGAAACATTATGTGAGAGACATGCATGAAAAGAGTCACATTGTGCAATCAGCATCTACAATGTTTGAGGTTATCTACTTAGCCGGGGAGCTGTCATCAACATGAGTCCTCATTGCAAGAGACATGTATAGGAAGCAGACTAGCCAATTTATAATTCAAGACATGATAAATGAGATGAGAGTCATTTACACAGCTTCAAGGACAGCACACAAAATTATGCCCAACAATGGGATCCATGAAACAAATTCAAAATTCCACGTTGTACTATGAACATATCGAGCACCTTCCCTGCAACTGTTCAGTTTCCTAACATTTGAATCACAAATTGATTCATGATGGTAAGAATTTGAATTCATATTAAAATCCAGAAATCAATACAACAAAAACAAAAGGAAACTATGGAAAAATTGCAGTTTTAAATCCAATAATTTGATCTATTCAAGTTGATAAGTGTTGGAATGTGTCCTATATCGCCTGGAGTTGCTCCATCTATGCTGATTATAAGGCTCCAAATTCCCTCTCATTAATACCTGGTTTTTAAGGAGAAGTGTAGACTGGACTTTTCAATTTGGTATTGTAGAAATTTAATGTATAAAGAGAAATGATTGTATTATTAATTGATATATATTGATGTCTATTACAATGATTCATGATTCCTATATATTCCACTAAACCTAACCCACTACACCACTACCATCTCACCTACTCCACTAAACCTAACCCACTACACCACTACCATCTCACCTACTCCACTAAACCTAACCCACTACACCACTACCATCTCACCTACTCCACTAAACCTAACCCACTACACCACTACCATCTCACCTACTCCACTAAACCTAACCCACTACACCACTACCATCTCACCTACTCCACTAAACCTAACCCACTACACCACTACCATCTCACCTACTCCACTAAACCTAACCCACTACACCACTACCATCTCACCTACTCCACTAAACCTAACCCACTACACCACTACCATCTCACCTACTCCACTAAACCTAACCCACTACACCACTACCATCTCACCTACTCCACTAAACCTAACCCACTACACCACTACCATCTCACCTACTCCACTAAACCTAACCCACTACACCACTACCATCTCACCTACTCCACTAAACCTAACCCACTACACCACTACCATCTCACCTACTCCACTAAACCTAACCCACTACACCACTACCATCTCACCTACTCCACTAAACCTAACCCACTACACCACTACCATCTCACCTACTCCACTAAACCTAACCCACTACACCACTACCATCTCACCTACTCCACTAAACCTAACCCACTACACCACTACCATCTCACCTACTCCACTAAACCTAACCCACTACACCACTACCATCTCACCTACTCCACTAAACCTAACCCACTACACCACTACCATCTCACCTACTCCACTAAACCTAACCCACTACACCACTACCATCTCACCTACTCCACTAAACCTAACCCACTACACCACTACCATCTCACCTACTCCACTAAACCTAACCCACTACACCACTACCATCTCACCTACTCCACTAAACCTAACCCACTACACCACTACCATCTCACCTACTCCACTAAACCTAACCCACTACACCACTACCATCTCACCTACTCCACTAAACCTAACCCACTACACCACTACCATCTCACCTACTCCACTAAACCTAACCCACTACACCACTACCATCTCACCTACTCCACTAAACCTAACCCACTACACCACTACCATCTCACCTACTCCACTAAACCTAACCCACTACACCACTACCATCTCACCTACTCCACTAAACCTAACCCACTACACCACTACCATCTCACCTACTCCACTAAACCTAACCCACTACACCACTACCATCTCACCTACTCCACTAAACCTAACCCACTACACCACTACCATCTCACCTACTCCACTAAACCTAACCCACTACACCACTACCATCTCACCTACTCCACTAAACCTAACCCACTACACCACTACCATCTCACCTACTCCACTAAACCTAACCCACTACACCACTACCATCTCACCTACTCCACTAAACCTAACCCACTACACCACTACCATCTCACCTACTCCACTAAACCTAACCCACTACACCACTACCATCTCACCTACTCCACTAAACCTAACCCACTACACCACTACCATCTCACCTACTCCACTAAACCTAACCCACTACACCACTACCATCTCACCTACTCCACTAAACCTAACCCACTACACCACTACCATCTCACCTACTCCACTAAACCTAACCCACTACACCACTACCATCTCACCTACTCCACTAAACCTAACCCACTACACCACTACCATCTCACCTACTCCACTAAACCTAACCCACTACACCACTACCATCTCACCTACTCCACTAAACCTAACCCACTACACCACTACCATCTCACCTACTCCACTAAACCTAACCCACTACACCACTACCATCTCACCTACTCCACTAAACCTAACCCACTACACCACTACCATCTCACCTACTCCACTAAACCTAACCCACTACACCACTACCATCTCACCTACTCCACTAAACCTAACCCACTACACCACTACCATCTCACCTACTCCACTAAACCTAACCCACTACACCACTACCATCTCACCTACTCCACTAAACCTAACCCACTACACCACTACCATCTCACCTACTCCACTAAACCTAACCCACTACACCACTACCATCTCACCTACTCCACTAAACCTAACCCACTACACCACTACCATCTCACCTACTCCACTAAACCTAACCCACTACACCACTACCATCTCACCTACTCCACTAAACCTAACCCACTACACCACTACCATCTCACCTACTCCACTAAACCTAACCCACTACACCACTACCATCTCACCTACTCCACTAAACCTAACCCACTACACCACTACCATCTCACCTACTCCACTAAACCTAACCCACTACACCACTACCATCTCACCTACTCCACTAAACCTAACCCACTACACCACTACCATCTCACCTACTCCACTAAACCTAACCCACTACACCACTACCATCTCACCTACTCCACTAAACCTAACCCACTACACCACTACCATCTCACCTACTCCACTAAACCTAACCCACTACACCACTACCATCTCACCTACTCCACTAAACCTAACCCACTACACCACTACCATCTCACCTACTCCACTAAACCTAACCCACTACACCACTACCATCTCACCTACTCCACTAAACCTAACCCACTACACCACTACCATCTCACCTACTCCACTAAACCTAACCCACTACACCACTACCATCTCACCTACTCCACTAAACCTAACCCACTACACCACTACCATCTCACCTACTCCACTAAACCTAACCCACTACACCACTACCATCTCACCTACTCCACTAAACCTAACCCACTACACCACTACCATCTCACCTACTCCACTAAACCTAACCCACTACACCACTACCATCTCACCTACTCCACTAAACCTAACCCACTACACCACTACCATCTCACCTACTCCACTAAACCTAACCCACTACACCACTACCACCTCACCTACTCCACTAAACCTAACCCACTACACCACTACCACCTCCACTTCACCTACTCCTTACCTACTACACACTCACCCTCTTCTATATATAGGAATCATGAATCATTGTAAAAAATATAACACATCAATCTCAATCAATAATACAATCATTTCTCTTTATACATTAAATTTCTACAGAATGTGTCCTATATCGCCTAGAGTTGCTCCATCTATGCTGATTATAAGGCTCCAGATTCCCTCTCCTTAATACCTGGGTTTTAAGGAGAAGTGTAGACTGGACTTTTCAATTTGGTATCAAAGCTTTGTTGGGCCTGTGATTAGTGTGCCTTTTGTCCAGCTACTGTATGTTGTGGTCTAGGGGAGTGTGTTGGAATGTGTCTCACATCGCCTCGAGTTGCCCCACCTGTGTTGGTTATAAGGCTCCAGATTCCCTCTCATTAATACCTGGATTTTAAGGAGAAGTGTGGACTGGGCTTTTCAATTTGGTATCAGAGCTTGGTTAGGCCTGTGATTGTGTGCCTTTTGTCTAGCTACTGTATATTGTGGTCCAGGAGCGTATGTTGGAATGTGGCCCACATCACCTCGAGTTGCCCCATCTGTGTTGGTTATAAGGCTCCAGTTTCCCTCTCCTTAATACCTGGGTTTTAAAGAGAAGTATTGGTTGGGCTTTTCAATTATAAGCCACTTGTAGAATGAAGTAAAGAGTCCTGATTATTTCATGCATCTCTAGTTACCATCATAACACTAACCATCGGTTAAGATGATGTAATAGCATAGCATCAAGGATGACAAATTGACAAAAGTGTTGTCTGAGTTCATTCATAGCTGTTGTTTAACACATCATGTGCACATTTATTGGAAGCTTCCAAAGGCCTTATAAGAGCTCTTCAAATGCTTCCAAAGCAATTAAACACAATTTTATAGTGCAACAGAAGAACAAACAAGTTTACCACAACACAAGATGTTGCTTAAATTTCAAAATGAAGCCACACCTTGCCACGACAAACCGCAAAAAATACTGCACCAGAAGCTGTGGAGTCCTTCAACTTAATCATGTAGTCCTGCCCAAAAATGAATTCATAAGAAATATCTGAGGTGAAGGCAGTATATAAGGGAAATTTGAAGAAATGTTGACCAAGTATGTAGATTAATTTCCTTACGTCAATTGACAAAAGGAAAAGTGATGATTGTCTTGGTTCTACAACAGCTTGCTTATGTTTGCAGATTCTCTCCCAGATTGTGCTGGAAATTGTTGAGTTTGTATGAATCTAGAGAGTAAGAAGGATAGTTCATCAAGATAAAATGCAAACAGATCACAAATCTTCACTACTTGTGCTAGAACCCTTACCGTATTCTTCCAACACCCAATACATTGATCCAGAAGGTAGTAAGATGGAAAAAATACTAGCAAGCCATCCGGTACAATTCGAGCAAAATTGACTGAAGCATCAGAACCACGGAACAAAAACTTCATGAAATAATTATCATACTAATGAGGCTACTGACTTCAGAAGGAAGATTGATTTAAACAAAGCTTCATTTGCAATTTTCCTTGTAAAAAATGTAAACATCTTCAGTTAAGTGCAATGAAAAGCCAAAATTTTCCTCCATCAGGAAAACAAGTCAGGTTTTAAAAAAGCAATATTCTTCCTAAACCATCAAACCCCAAAACTATCCATGTACAAGGTATTCAAATCATTTACCAAGAGATAGTTTGTCATACATGTATATCATTACATAGAACCCGCATTCTTAATACCTAATTACATACCAATAGCATTGCCAAGCTCTAGCTTGTACTCTACAGAATCACGGCTTCGATATGAGGAGTTGAAAGAGTAACTAGATGGACCAGCTGATACAACTCCAGCCCATATCTGATTTGCAGATATAACATGAGGATTCTCCAAACGAACAGGAAATTCTCTGACATGACAATCAAAGAAAAAAGGAATTTTTTTTTTTTATCAATTTCGGAACTCATGACACAACCAAATAAACACTAAGACCAATCTGTCTAAAGTGACTTACAACTTAAATTCCTGAGCAAATGAATCCATTGGAGATAATGTGCCAGATGTTAAAATGATGGATCCAACACCCAACTGGGAGAATTCTTCCATGGCAATTCCTGGATTAAAACACCACCAGCTGAGTGTTCTAGAAGCCTTACCTGCAGCATGAAAATCAATGAAAATATATAAGGAGGTATAGGGCAAGAATGCATGTCTTCAATTGCATAGAGGAGCAAGTCTACAAGACTAGGCCATTCCAGAATTTGTTGCTTTAATACAACGCAAAGGAAAAACTTCACAATATTGTTCAAAAAAAAAAAAGAAGGAAAAACTTCACAATGACATAATTCAACTTTTCATGACATAATTTCATATAGGCTTGAGCCAAGGATTCCAGATGCCTTGCAGCCAGAGTGAATTAAGCGAACCTTCAGTTTGAAGACAGTTTGCTTGTTATTATTCTTCAACATAGTCCTAATTTTTTATTAGATCCAGAGAATTTATTCCATATAAATGATTTTCTGTGCATACGGTCACATACATATTGTAAACATCAGTGACAAACTGATAATTCAAAAGAAAGAGAAAAATAAATAAATACATATGTACATCACAGAAATATAATATTTAATACACATCAAGTATATCAAATTAATCAAACTTTAGAAGAAATATGTCTCCCTATCACCTTTAAAAGCAGCTGCAGCACTAGCTTCAACTTCCTGAACATGAAGCTTAGGAAACAAAAAAATAAAAATAAAATCAAGTCAGACAATTATCTCATGGAAAAAACTCCAGCTATAAAGTTACAACGCATATAATATAGTTGCCCTACCTAACTATACGATTAGTTAAAAACATCATTATATCCAAACTTACACGATAATATTGAGCATGAGCTCTACCACCATCTCTGAAAATTATTTTAAGAATGTCACCCATACTATCCAGCCTGCATACAGTTCTCTTCATCTTGTGTGGCCCTCCACTATCAGTGACATTTGCATCTAAAGAAAAGAAAAAGGAATTCAGGTCAAAATAAACCAAAATAGATCAGAGGATAGATAACAAAAAAATTAACCACCATCCATGTTCTAAATTATGAATTTGTCCATCCAAATATTGATAAACAAGAAAGACATATATGAAAAAGAGTGACTCATTATTTTGATTATATTGGTGTAACAAAACTATATGTCCCACACATAAAACCATTAATAACAATTGACTTGGAGAATGCTGAAACCACAACTGTCAAGGCTATGTGACTGTTTATAGCTTACCTTCCTCAAGAAGCATAACAGCTTCTTCAATTGTACCAATCAGCATTGTGGCAGTTTTATATGTGATGTTCAGATCAGCAAGTAGTTCATAAATGTAAGGCCCAGGCTTGGTAAAACCAAATTCTTTGGATTCAATAGGGACTTCAGCAATCCGCTTCTCAAGTTTTAAAAGAAGTGCTGCCAGAAATGCATGATTTAACTCAGAAAATTGATCACCCATGAATATAATGAAAAAAAGAAATAGCTAAAGCAAAAATGACTCAAAATATAACTAAATATATGATAAAGTTTCCAGTAAAACAAGATTTATTGCTCTAAAATAAACAAGCTGGTTTCTGAATCAGCCAAGGAACTAGTATAAATGCTATTAGAACAGTAAAATATACATCATGAAAGTAATACTATTAGAACAGTAAAACATACATTATGAAAGTAGTGATAAGGAATGGAAACATCTATATAATTGATTCGGTCAACCAATTTAATTTACCTCTGAGAATTGCAAAATTATCTGGATTACATGATTTGTCATTTGAATTATCCCTCCTTGCAATAGAAAGGTCTACACAGTTTTTTGCTTCGGAAATGCACGCTGTAAGAATCCATGAAGGCAAGTCAAAAGACGCAGCATCTGCACATAAGCTTTCCTGGATTTTAAAGGAAATTTTAGTTTTTGCCAATAGCTAAAGTCAAAATATATTAAATACAAGTTAAAAACCTGCGTGATTTACAGTGAATAATTAATTTTTTGTCACATACATCATAGAAATTATGAGAGGAGATGAGCAGGGGAAAAAAAAAACTATAAGCATAGATACTCCAAAAAGACAACGTATGTATTGGATATGCATGAGAGATAAGGATATGTGCCCAATACATGTCAGATACGTCCAAGAAGAAGTCTACACAGTTTTTTGCTTCGGAAATGCACGCTGTAAGAATCCATGAAGGCAAGTCAAAAGACGCAGCATCTGCACATAAGCTTTCCTGGATTTTAAAGGAAATTTTAGTTTTTGCCAATAGCTAAAGTCAAAATATATTAAATACAAGTTAAAAACCTGCATGATTTACAGTGAATAATTAATTTTTTGTCACATACATCATAGAAATTATGAGAGGAGATTGCAGGGGAAAAAAAAAACTATAAGCATAGATACTCCAAAAAGACAACGTATGTATCGGATATGCGTGAGAGATAAGGATATGTGCCCAATACATGTCAGATACGTCCAAGAAGAACCCAACACAACTTTTTTTTCTTTTGTTTTTTCACTTTTAGATACGGCTCAGACACAAGATGATACGGCTTAAAATAAGTAGGATATGGCTCAAATATAGAGGATATGGTTCAGAACAAATAAAGTAACGGTTTCTATTTAAATTACAAATCAGAAGGGCCTTATTGGCAAAATTGAAAATTGAAGCCCAATTTAAGCTTAACCAAAGAAGAAAACAACATCAATTTTAGGGCTTCTCTTCTCCTCTGATACATTTCTTTGTTGGTTGAGCCCCTAGCGAATTCCTCCACTACCAAAGCAAGCACTTGAATCCTTAACAATTGAATGTAAAAAACACTTGCCTTCCTCCTCTGCTTCAGGAACCGAGGCAGAGGAACTGAGGCTCTGTTAATGCTGGTTTCTAGAAAATTAACATTGCATCATTGCCTTTGTTTACAAAATCCATAATTTTAGGAAAATGAGTTCAGGAAGTTTAGGTTCAATGATTGGATTTGAGGATCTTAGCTTAATATAGAATTTGTAAACATTTTAAAATATTTAATTTTTCAAATGATCTTGGCCATACATGTCTTTTTTAGATTTTGTTGTATCTCCATATTCGAATAGTATCATATTTGTGTTTATTGGAAAAAAGTAGCTCACAAGGCCAGGAGACATCAAAAGTTAGCGTCTCTACTTACCAAGTTGTGAGCTTCATCAAATATCAATATGCTATTATTCCACTTAATCGAAAGAGATTTTCTATTCCCAGTATCAATAAGGTAGTTATATGGCGCAAACACTATATCAGCAACCTTGTGGAGCTCTCGTGACACATAATAAGGACACCTACAAAAAAGTGTGAACATTGACAATCACGAGTAAACATGAACTTATTATTTAACTTTTTGATATTAAAAGAGAACAATATGTAAAAAACTTACGGTCCACAGCTTTTTCCAATATTGACCAACTCCTCTATGTCAATAGGTTCATCTCCAAGACCGGGATTTTCCTTCATAAATTCTACAAAAGAAAAATGGAAAGGTTTGCTGTTTTCAGAAAAATTGATCCACTGAATATCAAAAGGAAGCAGAAGTTTCATTGGATTAGTACATATCATAAAGAGCCTTCTGATTGACAAGAAAGAGTCCATAAGAGCATTCAAGAATATTAAGCCATCACTATTGTGAGCGTCAGGAAATCATGTTATTTGATTCAGCTAAACAAACTCATTACCTGCTCCAATCTATCCTCTTACATATATTTACTTTAAAAGCTCATAAGTTGTGCATTGAAGCTAAAGAGAGAAACCAAACAGAATATACATCATAAAAAACAACCATGTGTTACTCATATAAAATTACCTGCAACACGAGGAAAATGGCGGCAGTATCGCTTTTTGCGCTTTTTGCAAAGGGAATGGCAGGCATTTGTCTGGGTTCTTCCACGGAGCAAACTCACTTCTTCATGAATGCATAATTGCTCACGAGATCCTAATACTACCATTTTGGGCCTGCATGTTATCTAACATTGAGCAATTTCAAATTTCAGTTTTTTATTTTTATATATAATTATCCAAAGCACTGTTAGTGACAAACCAACAACTTCAAGAGAAAAGGTATTACTTGCATGGAAAATTCTCTATGTACTCAGTTAAAGAAATACCATAACTCTTGGTCAGAATAATTACAAGTTCATCACAAAAAGGTATGGCATCTGAAGTTTCTGCAATCACCTTCCAATTCAATTAACAACTAGGTCAAGTATATAATGCATTCATGTGCAGCAATATTGATATGCATGCAGTTAATTCTTGAACAAACATTTGTCAATGTTTGTATCAAGCACACTAAATTTTCTGCTAAAAATGTTCAAGGTGCCTTATTGGTACTGGATGATACCTGATGGAAAAATCGACTGTTAAGGAAGATTTGTTCAAAGTTCAAGATGACGAAATGTTGAAACACTGTTTTACAAGATCATACAGATTCTATATCATCATGCACACAATATCTTCACAAACCAGCAATGGAATCAGGTAATCATGTACCACATTGTTGATGTTCAAAAGAAAAACATACATTTTTATGTGTAAATAATGTTTAAAAAAATATATTTTAACTTCATGTCCATTTGCAGGGATGCAATCTGATGGCAAATGCACCAGGAAAGGTAGATTTGAAATCTAGGTATCCTGGAAACTCTTGTAATTGTTCCAAATTTGGGGGAAACACACAAAGAATAAAAAAAGGCAACCCATAAAAAGCACAATAGGAAGAATTATAACAGAGAAAAAAATAGTAGAACTTAAACACAGACTCCTCCAACTGTCCAGCTTCAAATTTGATAACATAATGGGTAACCAAAGTACAGTTATGATTGATTAACAGAGTAACTAATAAGTTAATAAATAAGATACAACAACCTCAGTACTAACGTTTATATATAAACATACGTCAATCCAGAATACAATTATGATTTGCTATATATCATGATCAACTTTGACCTGTAATTGGTTCTCTTCAACTCTTGAATAACTTGTCGAAGTTGGCTGTGAGTGCGCGAAGTGTATAGTATTGTGGGTAGATTCAATGATTCAGACTGCGACAATGGTTCATCAGAAAGTTCTTTTCCCACATTATGACTTATTTTCTCACTCCTACAGGTTGAGAATTCTCCCAAACTCTTCCTCCAAGCCAATGTAGCACAAAGAAGACACAAGGTTTTCCCAGTTCCAGTAGGGCTCTCCAACAACGCATTACATCTCTGAAAATGTTGTATCACATGCATACATGAAGTAATCAGAGAATAATATCGGTGATAATTATGATTATATATGAAATTTATCACCAAAAATAGTTCCTGGTATAAATCTCAGACATCCATAACCTTTACAAAAATAATAATGCTGTACCCATAAGATCACAAACAGATAAATGTTTTTTAAATGTTCCGAATATAACAATAGGGTTAAAAGATTGGTATATTTATTGGTATATACCAAAATGGAGATGAGACTCCCAATTACAGCACAGCAAAGTATCTTCAGAGCAATTTCATTGGGGATGATGTTATCATGTTAAAAAAAATAAAGTTTGTTCGAATCCCATCCAAACCTGTTAAAATCCACCTACTCTCCACCTACTTCACCCACTTAAACCTACTCCACTAAACCTAACCCACTACACCACTACCACCTCACCTACTCCACTAAACCTAACCCACTAAATCCACATACTCTCCACCTACTTCACCCACTTAAACCTACTCCACTAAACCTAACCCACTAAATCCACATACTCTCCACCTACTTCACCCACTTAAACCTACTCCACTAAACCTAACCCACTAAATCCACATACTCTCCACCTACTTCACCCACTTAAACCTACTCATAAAGTATTACAATCTGTGATTCTTAAAATATAATAACAATTCAAATCACCAAAACCATGAACAGAGCAGTAGTAGAGATTGAATGTCTCTGTATTGTTACATCTACATATGCTTTGAAAACAAAAACCAATCAGCATATATCATATTTTCTATTTATTATTTTTAGAGTTACATTTAAAAACTAAAAAATATATATGAATAATACGTTTATTTTTTTCAATTCAAAAAATATATTCAAGTTGAAAACTTTTTTTCAACAGAATATTTAAACTCTTTTTCAATTGAAAACACAAATATAATATTTAAACAAATTAAAAATACAAAGTCTTATAAATTACTAGGGGTGCTCGCGATTTGGCGGTTTGGCGGTTCGGTTGCGGCCAAAAAATCTCAAATCCGCCATCCGTCCGCCAAATTGGCGGATTTGAGAAAATCAATCCGCAACCGTCCGCTCGTCATCACGCATCCGTCCAAAATGCGGCGGATCGGTTCGGTTCGGTCGGTTTTGGCGGATCGGTATATCCGCTGCTCACCCCTAGTAGAACTTAAACACAGACTCCTCCAACTGTCCAGCTTCAAATTTGATAATATAATGGGTAACCAAAGTACAGTTATGATTGATTAACAGAGTAACTAATAAGTTAATAAATAAGATACAACAACCGCAGTACTAACATTTATATATAAACATATGTCAATCCAGAATACAATTATGATTTGCTCTATATCATGATCAACTTTGACCTGTAATTGGTTCTCTTCAACTCTTGAATAACTTGTCGAAGCTGGCTGTGAGTGCGCGACGTGTATAGTATTGTGGGTAGATTCAATGATTCAGACTGCGACAATGGTTCATCAGAAAGTTCTTTTCCCACATTATGACTTATTTTCTCACTCCTACAGGTTGAGAATTCTCCCAAACTCTTCCTCCAAGCCAATGTAGCACAAAGAAGACACAAGGTTTTCCCAGTTCCAGTAGGGCTCTCCAACAACGCATTACATCTCTGAAAATGTTGTATCACATGCATACATGAAGTGATCAGAGAATAATATCGGTGATAATTATGATTATATATGAAATTTATCACCAAAAATAGTTCCCGGTATAAATCTCAGACATCCATAACCTTTACAAAAATAATAATGCTGTACCCATAAGATCACAAACAGATAAAATGTTTTTTAAATGTTCCGAATATAACAATAGGGTTAAAAGATTGGTATATTTATTGGTATATACCAAAATGGAGATGAGACTTCCAATTACAGCACAGGAAAGTATCTTCAGAGCAATTTCATTGGGGATGATGTTATCATGTTAAAAAAAATAAAGTTTGTTTGAATCCCATCCAAACCAATATGAAAAACAGTAACCTGAAGTTGCCCAGTAACACCCAGTTGGGTTTTACAGCCAACTACTACTCATACTTAGAACAAGCTTACCCGAGCTGGTTGAACCATTGATAATTGTACCTTTCTGTGTGTGTAGAGATGCTCAGACTTAAATTACCCAGAAACCAAATCCATTTAGTTGAGAACAATATAATCCAAAGCACCGACAAGTTTCACAATCATGTCCCCAACATGAAATGCAGCTCGATATTGATCAGTGTAATGGTATAAACAATAGGCTCTCTGATTGATGGTTAAAAACAAGTAATTTTATTTCCACACACCAATTCACCTCATTTCACACACTTAAATGAAATTTTCCTTAATACAATTTTTTATAGAAATACCACAATAGCCTTATCTTCTTACACCAAAACCCTAATTCTAAAACACCGCAACCATCCCCCATCACCATTGCCACCTCTCTCCTCCATCATCCCCTCCCATCGCCTGTTTCCCCCTCCACCTACAACCACCTTCCATTATGAACCATAAACTCCCACAAGCTTCCTGCCCCGAACCACCCACTTTGGAGGTCTAGGATGGAAGGGAGCTGAGAGTGGCAATGGAGGGTAGAGAGTGGCGGTGAAGGAGGGGTGGGTTAGGGTTTTGAAATCAAAGATGAGAGTATTATTGTTGAAATCAAGAGATGTGTACTAAGTTTTTTTTAATTTTTTTTTATGTATGTATTGAGGAAGTGTTCATTAATGCACTGAGCGTGAAAATATAATTACCCTAAAAACATACTACATAGGTTCTCTATTACATACCAGCGTAATTAATTGATTGGTAAACACAAATAAAACCTTGTAAATGTACATATAATTGTTCCATATATTCATTGCAAACGAAATGAGATCAGTAGTGTTAAAATGCGAGATACTAGAAATGAAAAAGCTGCTCTTGGCAAAATTACATACATCTTGAAGAGATTGGATCACTTTTTCCATGTACACTATCTGGCAATCGTAAGCCTCGAATGGGAAATCGACATCGACTCCCCTGATCTTGTAGATCGGCATCTGTCTCAGTAGAGTTCTCTCTCTCTCTCTCTCTCTCTCTAAAAGTACTCAGGCGGTGTGAGTGAGAGGATTTGATTGAAGAGGGATCGACATGAACGTTGGTTCTTCGCAAACCCTAGAAAAATGGAAGTCGTCTTGCAGAGAGTGAGTTGTTTCCCGCCATTTTGATCCGGTTCAATCGAGGGTCGAACAAATATAAGCCTGTTTTTGTCGGGTTGCCCATCATGAAGTCGGGTCAAGCCTGGACCAGAGTCCATGGGTAGGGTAGGGATCAGTTTTTTTGGCTTTTAAATTTTTTTGGGTTACATTCCGTGTGTTTAGTTTTATTTCTTTTTTATTTTTTAGTAAATATTTTTAAAAAATTAAGTTTTTTTTTTTTACTTTTTTTTAGATACAGCTATTTAAATGTATCTGAAAAGTAAAATATTTTTAAAAATCAATAAATACACAAAAATATGAAAAATATACTAAATTCTCGTATTTTTTTGTATTTTTTGTGTTTAGTGAATTTTCTAAATATTTTTTTCACAAATATTATACTTTTTAGGAAAAATTAGTCTAAGGTCCTTCTCTTATTTTTAATAATGGAAGAAATTCACAATATTATTTTTTGATGTATAAGGTCCCTAAACTCACACCCATATATCAGATCAGAGAAATTTGACTCTCTCTCTCTCTCTAATCTTCATTCTATCCAAACCAAACCCTCTCTCTTTGTGCACGTTCTGATCTTCACCTTCGCTTCTCTCTTTACCATGCATTCTGATCTTCACCTTCGCTTCTCTCTTTACCATGCAGTCACCGGAATGTTGCGATATAAACTGAACCACTGCGATCTGAGCTGCGAGGGTTCGTGAATATTGCACTTTTTACTACTCCACCGATGGGTCAGTTTGAGGTGACTCCGAACTCCAATCGTGGTGGACAAAGCTCTGGCATGAGGGCCATGGTGACAAGAAAGACGAGCCATGGTGGCCAAAGATGCAGACACGAAATGACATCATCAAAACATACACCATTGTTATATGGGTGTGGCTTCCATGCTGTCACAACCCAACCCCAAGGCTTAGGACTGCAATCGCAACTTACTAAATAATTTTAAGCTTAACAAATTAAATGTCACAGGCGAAGGCAAATGGAAATAAAAAATAATTAAATAGAAAATTCACTTCATTCAACTATTTTAATAAGAGAAAAAAAAATACATCTATAAGGTTTTTATTATTTTATTATTCAGTGACCGACCCTAAGTAGAAACAAAATGGAGCAAAAAAAAAAAGATTGCATTATAGTGGTTCAGCATCAAATTCTTGTGGGGGTTCCACTACGTGAAGTTATGGGTTTTCTTTAATGATTCAGCATCAAAAGGGTAATAGCTATAAGCACACAGCAGAATAAGAAATATTATGCCAAGAATATAGGGAATACAAAATAACCATAGATAGTTATTTAAGTTAAAATAGTAACATAATTTGAATAAACGAATGATTTAAAGTGACAGAAACTTAAATACATAAATTATGTAAATAAATAACCATAACCACGGTACAAAACGGATTAGAACTGAGGTCATTGGAATGACAGTTAGAACAGAGGTCAATGGATCCATGACAAACAGAGAACCACAAGGTGGCCAAATAGAGGATCACAAAAGTAGTCAAACAAAAGCCAATAGTTATTCAAGTCCCCCAAGGCATGGGATTCCCATGGTGATACTTACAAAAAATAATTATTTACAAAATCATTATCAAACAATTTCTAAAATTTAAACAAGCATATCCATGAATTTCATTTTAAGTAATGGAGTTCAGAAAATATAAATATAAGTTATAAAACATAACTTATATAAAATAAATTATAGTAATTCAAAACATACGTAAAATATATTATGGTAACTTAAGATATAATATAACTCACATTAATATTGGCCCTTAGCCTTTTATTTTTATTTTTGCTAACTTCTCATAGCTACTCCATTGCTTCTATTTTTTTCGTTTTCTTTTCCCTTCGTCCTAATGGCTTCACAGACCCGTCCCCTTTATATATTATATATACACAGAACCTGGTGATGACATAATGATCCTAATTGGATGACTCACCCCCCAGGCCTTGAGAGCCCAAATGGCTGAGGTTCATTTGTCCAGCAGTACACGTTCATTATTATTTGAATTATGAAATCAGATACAATCAGATATTATTATTAACTCACAGATTTGCTATATCTTATCATTAATATTATTAGTCTGAAATTACTTTTATATTTATTTCTTATTATGTTTATTATATTTGTTTATTTAACCAATTTATTTATTTAGTTATTTCTTTACATATAACCATAATTATATATATATATATATATGTATATGTGGTATTTAATTAAACAATAGGGTGTCACATTTCTCTCATCTTAAATAGAGTTTGTCCCCAAACTTGACGTACCTTAATTTGCGAAGAGGTGTAGGTATTTGGCTCGCATTTAACTTTTCGTTTCACACGTAGCTTCTTCGATACGATGATTTCGCCATAAGACTTTTACTAACGGTATGGTCTTGTTTCGGAGAACTTGATCACGAGGATCAAGAATCTGTACTGGTTGTTCTTCATAAAAGAGGTCTTCTTGGACATCCAAGTTCTCATAGTCGACGACATGTTCTGAATCTTAGATGTACTGTCAAAGCTCGAAACGTGGAACACATTGTGGACATTGGACAGTTCAAGTGATAGTGCAAGGCGATATGCTATAGGACCAATCTTTTCTAGTATCTTGAATGGCTTAATGTATCGTGGGTTTAACTTTCCTCGCTTTTCGAATTGGATAACCCCTCTTGTTTGTGAGATCTTTAGAAAAACACGATCTCTTACTTGAAATTCCAATTCCCATCTTCGTGTATCTACATAGTTTTTCTGGCGACTTTAAGCAGTGCAAATTTGCTGTTGATGAGTTGGATTTTATCGCTTGTGATTTGCAGGATCTTGGGGCCTAACAATTTTCTGTCTCCGACTTCCGCCCAACACAAAGGTAATCGACATCTCATTCTATACAGTGCTTCGTACAGGGCCATTCCAACACTTGCTTGATAGCTGTTGTTGTAGGTAAATTCCACCAAAGGTAGGTGTTCATCTCAGTTACCTTTGAGATCTAGCACTCAGACATGTAACATATCTTCCAAAGTCTGGATTGTTCTCTTAGATTGTTCATCAGTTTGCGGGTGATAAGCAGTGCTAAACTTTAGTGTAGTCGCCAAAGCCTTCTGCAATTTGTTCCAGAAGTGAAACACGAAGCGAGGGTCTCGGTCAGACACAATTGAAATTGGGTGCCATACAAACGAATAATGTCCTTGATGTATAAGGTGGCAAACTTATTAAGGGAGTACATGATTTTGATTAGAAGAAAATGCACTGACTTCATCAATCAGTCTACTATAACTCATATTGCATCATTCTTTGAAAATGGTTGTGGTAGCCTAACCACGAAGTTCATAGTAATGTGCTCTCATTTCCATTCAAGAATAGGGAGTGGTTGCAACATTTCTACAGGTCTCTGATGTTCTGCTTTAACACATTGACAATGCAGACATTTTGAAACATGGTTTTCTATGTCTCTTTTCATTCCTGTCCACCAGTAATGTTCATTCAGATCATGGTACATCTTTGTATTGCCAGGGTAGACTGCAAACCTCGAGCTATGTGCTTCCACCAATATTTTTTTCTTGTGTTTCGGAATGTCGGGTACGCAAATTTGATTCCAAAATTCTAGTATCCCATTGCTTATAGTGAAATCAGGATCAGGCGTACTCCATTGCTCCTCGTACTTATTCTTCAAAAGTTTATCTTCAAATTGGCGCGCTTTAATTTATTCAATTAATGTAGGTTCCACAGTTATATTGGCGAGCAGTCCATTGATCTTACGAGAAACGAGAGTACATGCCAAATTCCTGGTTGTCTTTTAGCTCAGTGCATCTCTCATGACCCAAACCCGCCCCTGTAGGTTTAGCATCGTAACTGACCAGTAATCCGTGGATTACCAAAGGCCTCTTAACAGATCAGCACATAATAAGGGGTTGTCGAAGCAATTATACAAAATAGACAAGGTCCAATGAGCTGTAATAACGTACATAGGACAGAAGATTTCAAAACTTATATATATACATAAGCGTGTCGGTCGAAGGACATCAATATTTACAAAACATTTACAAAAGTGTAATTCCTAGAACCCGACTTCACAAAACAGCCAGAGACTAGCATAAGTACAAAAACAGCCATGTAACTAGACTTTGATCGGAACCTCCCCCGGAGACACAACAGTTGGCTGACAAAAACAGAAATGAAGGGCGTCAACTCTGGCCCTGATCACACGCCGACTCACCTACATACATAACATAAACTGTGAGCGAAAGCTCAGTAAACAATAACAGAGTAAAGGGGTTTCAATGAATGAGTCCGTACAGATTCAGAAATCATAATTCAGTTTCGTATCAAATTCATAATTTGTCCAAATCATATACAGAAATCACGAGGTATGCTTAAATATACGTGATACATCCATTAGCACTAACAGAGCAGATACAGAACAGATACAGACACGTGAAGGTTACGAATAACCAGTTCCATAAAGGAACCTCCGAATCTGGGTAACAGAGAACAAATACGCTGAGCCCGATGACGGAGCCTCCGATACGAGTAATAGAGTGCAGACAGATTAAGTTCCATGATGGAACCTCCGATACCGGGTAACAGCCAATAGATATCACATGATGCTAAGGATGTCACGATTACATATCAGAAATTGGACAATCATTCATGGTACAGAATATAGCACATCAGAAAACAGATCTTATCTTATCACACAGAAAGTAAATACAGTTGAACATAACTTTACTAAGTTATTACTTACAGTTGACCTTGAGACAGACAGACGGTGTAGATTGGTCAAACGGTACGCTGCGCATGACCTACATAACACATAACAGATACATACTTGAAACACACGTTCGAATTGTATATAACTTATGTCGTTGGCTCTTAGTGTGTTTCTAACCTTTAATCTTCATTATGGAGCCTTAAATGTGGCCTAAGAATGCCTAGGATGGAATAAGGATGCAAGAATGCATTGGAAAATATTTCTTGAAACTTGCTGAAAATAAGGTCCACGCTCGAGTG